GAAGGCGAGTTGTCGACAGGGAATAAATGGGAAGAGAAAGGAGAAAGTAGGAGAAAAGAGTTAGCTCATTTGTAATACGATTAAGCAGGCCTTAGTTTAGTAATGAAATATGGACCCAACTAAAAGCATCCTCACAATTAACAAATAAACAATTGACTAATAGTGGTAAAGTGTGGATTATCTGCCTCCCACAATGAGCTAAAAGGAATATATTTCTATATAATTGTGAGAATAATTAATTATTACTTATCCATTATTATTAATAATATAGTTAATAGTAATACTGATTTATTGTACTATGATATAATTGAATTATTGTCGATAATCCTAAATCAAGTGATAATAATTTATTTGTATTAATTAATTATTTTCACTATTACATAGAAATATATCCGTTTTGGGTCAATGTGGAAGGAAGTAAATCCACAATCACACATTAAGTCATCATACTCGGTCTTTATTCACTATAAAACCCCATCAATAAATAGTGCATGCGGACATATTTAGAATAAGAATGGAGGATATGTGTGATGTGTGAAAAACCGAAACACATGTAATAATAACAAAATGTCTTCCCAGAAATATCCATAAAGATACCATACATATTGGCTGATTCAGCAAGAAATGATAGTTTTTATCGTTTATGAGTATGCGATTGACAAGAAATCCTAAACTAACAAGTGTCAATTAAACCAAGGACTAGTCTTGATTTGTGTACAAAAAGACGCCAATAACCTACATGACTTCTCCCGGGCCTTTGCAATAAAATTGTCCGAAGTCCCCAAATTTTTTGCTTAAACAATTTTCAGGTGGTCGATTCAACTGAATAAGATGGCACATTCCAAGTATGTATTTTCAATAAAGATGAAATGGAAGTGAGATGTGAATAAATTTAAGTGTAGCCGGATTCATTCTATAGATTAGTATGAACTAAAAAGGCAAAAACAAGGAAAATAATAAAACCTCCAAATGTTTAAACAAACAACAAGCCTAAAATTAACCATCATATTGGACGATAACCCCGTTCACAACTCGCAAGAAGTAAGCAATTGGCAATATATTATGCATCATATTTTGTTATATACTTATTCTAATTCATGCGAAAATATTTGATCAGGACAACTATTTTGCCTCGTGTCCATAAAAAACAAACGTAAATTGGAATTTTGGTGGACTTTTTCAGGATATATATGCTGGAAGTTGAAAAAGAAATTAAAAGGGACCTAAAATGAGAGGATTATGGTAGCCGAGAAGGAAAATTTTCGGCAAGCATAGTTTGATAGTTGAGCAAAAATAAGAGGAACATTTAAATAAGTACAAACGTAAGAAAGATTTTAAGATCCTTCAAAAGACCAACCAAGACGTGACGGAATCCGTTACCGTTAGCTTGTATAGTTTATTAGCATAAAGTTATCTCCACATATGGACTGATGAGTAAGCCTAAAAGTTGCCGTCAATGAAGCTAGTATAGACGCGTTCGTTAGACTGAATCATTTCTAGAATTAACAAAAATTACTTTATAACTTTATAATCGGCCTGAGTAGTTTATCAATTGGCCACAGGACGACTTAGTACTCGCAGAATTTTCCTCAATCTGAATCAGATCAGGTCGCTAGAGGCGATAAAAACTGCAACGCGGAGAGTGGAAAGGTCTGAATAGAGCTTAGATCTCCCCTAAGTTTTATCAACAATCCGGACAGATTCGCAATCAGGAAACGATCCCAAAGTTCCTCTTCGAGGAAAAATGCTCTTTTGTAGGCAGTAAATAAATTAATTGTGTGGATATACGATTTATTTGTATGCTTATATAGAAACTTCCTGGCCCCATACTTGATGCAAAATGAGACAGGCATGAGTATAGAGAAACTGCTTGAATGGACGAAAACAAACGCCGAAGTCTGTCAGTGATCTTTCATAAACTCCTAACTACAGAAGGACTTAAAAATGACCAAGTTATAACTTTCAGAACTTGGCTTTTCCTTTACTGGCTCCACGTTTTCATATCCTTATAATTCCGTGAATAGGTATTATTTTCGGGGAAGAAAAGTTAAAAAAGACCTTACTGTTTCTAAATCTGTCACTGGGAAATACATTTTACAAATCAAGTGTATCCTTATTTAATCGAGAGAAGTGACCAATGATGGGTCTTCATTTTTAGACGCGATTTAATGATAGTCTCGATTTCACATCTGAGACAGAATTCAGCAAATCATTAATGTACTACTTTAGTTATTTGTGAGTAGATACGAGTGTAAAATTGAAAATTGTTGCCAATCTTTCTTCTCCATCCACAACCACCTCCTGTTCTTCTTCCACCTCTGCCTCATTCGGCGTCGCCAGCCCTGGCCGCTTGTTGGTGGACAGATTGGCCTCTTCCGATTTCACTGGAATGAGAGCAACATCAGTGAACCGGCACAGCTTGCCGTTGAGTGTATATAGGACGAGGAGGCGTTGACTGACCAGCGCGACCAAATGCCCCTCGCGACTGTAGATTAAGTGGCTGGCGGCAAGACGGCTTATGCCGCCTGAGAGACCGCCGGGCCGCTCGCTGCTGGGCGGAAACAACGAGTCGAGCAAACGAATGGACGGCTTTGGAAGGGGCAAGCTTCGCAGCAGGTCGCCGTGAGTTGTGTGCAGAAGGCAAAGTCCACCTAAATGAAATAGCATTTAATTGTGTAAATTAGACAAACTGCAATTGCAATACACCAATCACCAAGTCGCATCAGAGGGACCACATTATAAAAGTGAATAGAATTTTGTCATAAGTATGCAAATACGTACGCAATGGTATGAAAGGATCAAAGCAATTAGAAATAAACTTCTTTAAGAGACTTTAAAAATATGTGCAAAAAGTGATGAAGCCATTTCAAATCAAAATTCCTTTTATTTGTACATGCATACATCATTCATAGCCAACATTATCACCGGCTTGACATGTTGTCAAGGGACTCAAATACCATGGTGTGACTGTGAGACCCCAAACATCTTGATCAAGACAAGCATCGTGTGACACGTTCGAACAAGTATCCAAGAAGTGAGAGTTGAACAATCTTTTCAACGAGTTAAAGCAAGTGGAGCCTTCGGATAGACATACAAATGCAAAAAAGGATAGGAAATCTGCTAAAAACAATTCAAAGTGCTCCGTAGTGATCAGATTCAAGGGCTTTTTTCAGCCTGGCACAGGTCTGATGCCAAGGAATTTCGAGTTCAGTTGAAGGAACCGGCTGAAGTGAGCAACCGGATTCCGATGCAATAGGTTCAAGAATACCTTCGGATGGTGGCCGAGAAGAGAGATAGTGAGGACAGCAAGCTAAGCATCAATCGACGGGCCTTCAACGGAGCTACGGATGTCATGGCGAACCAAATTATGGG